TGCCAAAGTCTCTGAAATTCGCCCTTACGCTTATCCACGCTCTGGTAAGTCTCTTAAAACAGATTTAAATGCTTATTCTTCCGCTCCCCTCTTTTTATTTCATGCTTTCGTTCATGCATTTGGGAGGGGCCCCTCCCCCGCTCGCTTTTCGTAGCTCCTAAGGGGGGGGTAGCTTTCTTTTTAAATTCTCATGTTTGCTTTAACCCGACTCACCGTTCATTGTCGGCCATTCAGCCACTCTCAGCATCCGTTTAATTCGCTCGATCTCCGATGCTTGTCCCAGTCAGCGGCTCTAAGTCCATTTGGACCCTCAGCGGCAGGACCGTCGGGGCAGAGGAGCACCTCAATTCTCCGGCATCGCGCCGGCAAAGAGGTCACACCCCTCAAAAGCCCCATGGCTAGGAGTCTTTTGCCAAGGCTCCAGGGGAGGGGTCACGACCCGTCGCACCCCCTCCTACACGCTAGTGTGCAGATTACATCCCCGGGAGGTCCAGGAGATGCGTCTGCCTGCGTGTCGCCATAAACCGGAAGTCCAGCACTTTTTCCTATTCTTGTTTTGCCAGAAAACTAACATCAGTTCAACATAGTGTGGAAGTTCTTGAGTTCTTCAGAACTTCTTCATGATGGATGCAAAATGAAAGGAAAAAAATATTTCTGGCCATGATGGTCTTTTATACATCTTGTGCAGGATGTACTGCACATCTGAGTATTGCTGCTGCATGGAGGTAATACTATGTTGCACCTTAGTCTTCTAAGGTAAAGGGGAAACAGCCTATTTGAAAATAACAAAATGCCATTTTCCATTCATTTCAGAAGGCTAAAGTGCAAGCTCCACACAGCACAATAAAATTTATTGTTTAAACATTAACAAGTTTACATACATATCCTTATGTACCTATCAGCTCTGCTTCTGATCCTGATGAACAATTAACATGTTAAAGCACTCTGGTATCAGTCTTGTGTGATGAACAATAAAGCCAGCATTGGAAAAGCACAATGAATCTGGAATGCAGAGGTAACACTTTTTCAGTTTTTCAAGTCTGCAAAAATCATTTCAATATTTACAACAGTATGTAATTGATAAATAAACCTTTATTACTTAAACATTAAGTTTTACATCCCTAACCCAAAACAGTCACATGTGAAGAACTATGGTGATCCATTCTCTTTCAAGCAGTGGATAGAAACTCATAAAGAGGTAATTAAGGTTGAATGAACTAGAGACAAGTATGGCTAATTTTAAGACATCTCTGAATTAATGTGAGGAAACCAGTTTGAAGACAACTATGAATTAGTGCAAAGGATAACCCACTATGAAGTTACAGAAAGTAAAGTCCTAAAGTGGCACATTGTCCAATATTCTAATGGCATAGTCACAGTCATGATGCCACGCTACCACAAAGCTGAAGGACCAAACTTTTGAATATTAAAGTCAATTACTCTTCAGCCAATAACTAGTACTGCACAGTAATTCTGTCTTTGTAACTCAAAAAGGAAAAAATTAAGAGTAGCAATAGGATGACAGCTGCTATACAGCCTGACTCCTAAATCAAGCAGACAGTTAAAACTGCCTTCCACAACAAACTGGATGGACCCAAGCTGCTGTAAGATCTAACCATGCCATACCATTTCTTCTCCTGTTCCCTGTCTCATACACCCCCACCTCTAGATCCACTCTTGTTTTATGATGCACTTTGTTGTTGTTTTTTGTTTTATGATGCACTTTGCTTTCAGATTTTTTTTTATTTCCTAAACCAGGAGAAATAGCTACCCTATTTACCTGAAAGGAAGACTTGGTTTCCCCCCAGCAGTGCTGTCAGAGACAAACAAAAAATACTACCACCTGGGGGATGTCTTAAATTCACATACAAGTTACAGGTATCAGTAGAAAAGAGCAAGAGTCCAGTATCACCTTAAAGACTATGTGCTCACTTCTGAAGACTCATGAAAGCTCATACCCTGCCACCTCCTTTGTTAGTCTTTAAGGTGCTACTGGACTCTTGCTCTTTTCTACTGCTACAGACAGACTAACACGGTCACCCATCTTGGTTACAGGTATGTACTACAATAAAGAAGTTTGTGCACAACCTTTTAAAAGGGATTATCTTTGTTTTGGGTAACATATAATGCTCACAAGGTGAACATCTGAGTCAGGGAACAGAAATAATGTCTGCTTGGCAGTTACCCAATTCATTCTGAACAAAATTTATCCAAAAGTTCAATTTAGGGTTCCTCTATATCTTAGGATCCCCAGTTTATTTACTTTCTTTACAACCCCACTTTTCTCCACAATGCAGACCCAAAGCAGCTTACATCATTTCCCCCTTTTATCCTCACAGCCTCTATATGAGGCAAGCTAGGTTAAGTGTGTGTGACTGGCCCAAGGTCAGCCAGCAAGTTTCCATGGCAAAGTGAGGATCTGAACTTGGGTCTCCTAGATCCTAGTCCAAAACTAACCACTACACCACACCGGCTACCTAAAAAGTTCTAAAGTCAACTGACATGCTGCTCCCAATCACTGACTATTTAGCCAACAGCATCTTTACAGCATGTACCTTAAATTTTACAGTCTGTGTAAATCTGCTATCCAAAAAACCTTGACCGTACAACAATGATCTAAGAACTCTTACTCTCAAAGACATTCCAGTTACAGTGAAGATTACTACATAGTAAGTAAATCTGAAGGTGACCCCAACAGATGTAGGCTAAGCATGGATTGAAATAGCCAGAGTTACTCTAAAGTTATGTGACCAAGAGAAACTATGATCATACAAGAACCTCTCTCAATGTGTTCTATACTCCCAATAATACTAACTTGGGGTGAGTAAATTCAGTAAGCAATTCTCATACTACTCCACTTATTCATGCTCTTGACTCAATTCAACCTTCTGTAGCTGAAAGTGCCAGTTTCCTTCCTGCTATGGAGCTACCCTAATACGACGGAAAAGATATAAATCCAACCCATACCATTATGTGTCAACTATGGCTTGCTATTGAAGCTGTGCACAGTACTGTCTCCCGCCAAGTCATTAAGGCTAACAGAGCCACACAAAATTGTCATACTGCATATCCATGAGCGCTGCATTCACAGCACAGTCTCCAGGGAAATGCTAGTCTTGCCTGAAGACAATTTTCACTCACTATAGTAGACAAAGCATGGGGCTAATTGTAACCTTTGTTACCAACTATTTACTATATGCATCCTTATAAGCCCCCTCGATATTACACAACCTGTGTAATTCTTACCCACAGCTCTCATCCTATTAGGACCACCTGCTCCCTTATGAATCTACTCAACCACTGTGGTCATCTTCAGAGGCCCTGCGTCAGGTGTTCCCATCTTATGAGAACAGGAGCAGGGCAACCTGCTCCTTCTCACTTATGGTACCAATACTCTGAAACTCCCTCCCTGGGGAGATTCATCCATCTCCTTGTCTGTTGCCACCTTCTGCCAGCAGGTGGAGACATTATGTTTTGTTATGCTTGGCCTTCCCTCAGTGATCCCTCCTTCCTGACCAGTATTTTAATTATTGGTTTTTTGTACATTCATTTTAGTTATGCTTTTAATTTTTTTAATGATGTGTTTTTGTTGGCTTTAATTGTTTTAATGATGTGCTTTTGTGGGCTTAAAAGATGTGATTTAATTATGTCTGTTTTTAATTTGTTAGCCACCCTGATGGCCCTTAAAAAGGCAGAAAAAGCAGGGGACAGGTTTGGTAAAATAAAATAAATAGCATTATGCAGACCTACAAAAGCTCATACTGCCAAATTTTAAAATACTAAGCAATGAGAGATAAACCCCCAATGTTGTAATAATTTCTCTCCCACACACCAGCATGCCAAACGCTCAACCCTACCCTCCCTTTACAATCCAAAGGCGATTGTATGTATTGCTTCAAGAAGAAAACTAGATTTACATCTGCCATACACAAAACAGATGGCAGCAGGTGATCTGGAGACTATTCTCAAACACCACATTTCATCCGCATTGTCACTGAAACACTGCCGTTCGTGGTCAAAGAACAAGCAAACAAAAACAGACCACGGCAGGTCTACAAACTACACTCAGGCAAAAAGCTTTTCTCACGACGAAAGATACCTTACCACGACTTTTCCATCTGCAGCCAGCTTCCCAGGGGGATAAAAAGAAGTTGCTCGCCCCTCCCTGTGGGGCACTCAGGATCATCCCTAGGGGCTACCCTGCCGTAATCTTATCTCGTTCCCTTTTCGCGGCTGCTGGGAACGCTTCCTAATGCCAGTCCGGCAAGCGGCCTCAACACGAACACCCAGAACAGCCCTGCCACGCAGTTCGCCCCCCCCCCCGACTGCGGCTGCAATGCAGACCTTCACCTGAGCTGGAGCTTTGGCGAAGCGTCAGGAGCACCTCCCGTCTGCACTGAGCCGCACTACGGCACCGGGGAGGGGGGGCGCTGGTTGGCTGGCTGGCTGCGCGGCCTCCGAGCACCCGGCCCCTTCCCTCGGCCACCGCCGTCCGCAGGCCGGAAGGGGGGGGGGCACCGCAAGCGCCGCTCTCTCGCTCGCTCTCTCCCTCCCTGGGCCCGCAACCGCCGCCGCCCAGAGGAAGGGCAGCCTCGCGGGGTCAGGGTCTCTCGGCGCAGAATCGACACAGCAGCGCCCCCTCCCCTCTCCCGCCATTACACTCCGGGGAAGCCGGTGCCGGCCGCCGCCGCTCCGCCGGAGGAGCCCAGCCCGGCTGCTTCCCTCTTCCTCCTCCGCTTCCCCACAGGGGCGCAGCGACGCCCCGGTCCCCCCCTCGGCCGTCTCCCCTTCGGAGAGAGAGGCGGGGAGGGCTGCCGCCGCCATCTCTTCCCTCGCGAAGGGAGTAAGGCCTACCCACCATAGGAGGAAGCCGCCCGACCGCTTTCCCTCCTCGCCGCCGCCTCGCAGGAGCGGAGAAACAGCCGCGAAGGATGAGGGAAGAGTACAAAGAAAGAGCCCCGGCGGAGGGATACACGGAGGCTCCGCGCGCGTTCTCTCACCTCCTTTTTTCCGCCCGCCCGCGGCGTCCGTTGAGGAGCAGAAGGAGAAAGAGCGCGCGACGCGCAGGCCCGTCGCTTGCCGTCCCACTCCTGCGCAGGCTCCGAGCGAGGGCGTCGAACGTAGGCGGGAGTAGACGGGCCGAGGGAGATGTACGCATGTGCAGTGCAACCGCCGTTCTCCCTCCTCCCGTATTTTGAAAAAGTCGCTCGCCCGTCCCCGCTTTTGCGCACGCGCGTCTCGGCTCGTCACGGGGGGAGGGGGGTGGTGACCCGACTCCTTCCTTACCGTGCGTAGGTGGCGATCAACGTTAAGGCAATCTGAGTCTCTGTGGGCCTTTTGACAGAGCGGAACTGAAGTCTGTGATCTCAGTCCTCCCGTGTCTTCCGCCCCTTGCTGGCCGAAGGCTGTAACGGCAGCTTGAAGCTTCTGAGCGTGAACCGGAGTTGGATGTGGCTCATCGTTGCTAATAACTATTAGAGACGGAATCAGATCTCTGAGTGGGGTGTAGTGGTCCTGGAAGGCGTTTGCCGCAATAAAATTACGGCGCCACGAGACTGTCGTTTATTTTTCCTGCTACAGACTAACGTGTCGACTCTGCATTATCCTATAGGTTTGAGTTAAATTGAAAGCCTTCATTGCGCGTTCTGTATGCGGAAGTGTTGCTCTAGCCCTGCCCTCTCTCGGCTACTTGTAGACAAGGATGCCCTTTATATCTTGCTTTGACGATTTGCTTGGCCCAAAGTTAGTACTGGAAGTGCCTTATGAGCTGTTGTGAGATTGTTGTTCTCGCTCAGCCACATCTGAGAAGGATCACTTCCCTTGCAGCAGCAACTCTCCGTGTAGCACCCACAGGTGCCCTGAGGTCTTCTTGTGTTTCCTCCTGGATGAAATCCAAAGTGGAACAGGGGAAAAATAGCTCCAGGTCACACCCTACCAGCTGCCTGACTCAAGCCCTGAGTTCAGCTGGGCAGGCATGTCACTGTGGTGTACCTGTGGTGGTAGAGTTGGCAACCTCCTAGTGAGGAGATCTCCTGGAATCACAACTGATCTTCAGGCTAAAAGAGATCAGTTCTCCTGGCCAAAATAGTAGCTTTAGAGGGTGGCCTCTATGGCATTATACCCTACTGAGGTCCCCAGACCCCATTGTCTCCAGGCTGTACCCTTAAAAATACAGGAATTCTGCAACCCAGAGTTGGCGACCATATGGCAGGAGACCTTAAGGACATTTATTCCAACATAAGCATTCATCGGATGCTGGAATGTCCATCCAAATCAGATAAATTTATTCTCATTTATACAGTACTTCTAGAAAATTTGTGTACCTTCTTTCTGGTATCCAGTTCTCAACAAGGTTTCCAGAGTATACCATATCTGATGAAGGGGTCTTTGACTCTTGAAAGCTTGTATCTCAGAAACCTGGTTGGTCTTTTAAGTTTTTGTGTCACATTGCAGCCGATTTGGAGCTTGAGGAAAGCAGGGTTTGTGGAGGAGAGGACCCTCAGCAAGGTATAATGCCACAGAATCCACCCTCCAAGGCTGCCACTTTCTCCAGGGGAAACTGATCTCTCTCATCTGCTCTAATTCCAGGAGATCTCCAGATACCCCACACACACACACCTGGAGGTTGGCAACCTTGGGCACATGGAGACCAGATATCTACATGGTTTAAAGCAAAGTATTAACCATTAAACCACAAGGCTGTATAAAGAATGATCAGTCTGTTCCGTGATTATTCTGTACAGGTACCAGTCTTCTGACACAAGAGGTCTGGATAAAAAGCCCTCAGGGCCGGTCCACTCACTAGGCAAACTAGACTTTCACCTAGGGCAGGGCCATCATGGGGGCGCGGAACTGAGCCTCCCTCCCCCCCGCACCGCCAAAAGCTAATGTTAAGGCTATGGCTTGCTGTGTTACAAGGCTTGGGTGAATACTCCTTTTTCCTTTGGAGCTGTGTCCCAAAATTCCAGAGACACGAAGGAAGCATCCTTGACTCTCATCCACCACCACCCCACCTGCTATGGCAGCATAGCTGACATTCTGCATGGGTGCAATTCAGATGGGAACCATGGCTAGCAAAGACAGGAGGGCTGCACTATTTTACTGACCTTAAATGGCCTGGAGTACCTGCCATTTATCCCATTAAGGGAGCACACTTGCAGCCCCTCTGCACACATTGCTTTCCCAATGGAGCAAACAGAAACTCTATGGAGCTTTTTCAGGGCAGGCAAATGCCTTGGGGTGAGTCTCAGAGCACCTTACAATCCAGCTGGGACAGAGAGACCTCTGAGAGAACTGCTCTGACAGAACCGTGACTGGCCCTAGGTCACCCAGTTTTCATCTTTCCTGATCTTTAAGTAATTTTTTTTAATTTGATCATTTATGTTTGAAAATTGGTGGGCGCACCGGGGAAGGGGGGGGGCGCCAGAAGGCATCCTCACCTAGTGTGCAAAAAAAGCTGGGGCCAGCCCTGAAAGCCTTGACCTGGATAGCCCAGCCTAGCCCGATGATGTCAGATCTCGGAAGCTTAACAGGGCTGGCCCTGGCTAATATTTGGATGGGAGACCTCCAAGGAATACCAGGGCCATGAGGTGGAGGCAGGCAATGGCAAACCACCTCTGAACTGTCTCTTGCCTTGAAAACCCCACCAGGGGTTGCCATAAGTCAGCTGTGACTTGAAAGCACTTTCCGCCGCCAGCAGGTAAAAACATATCCCAGCCTACGGATCCCTCAGTGTTCTAGTAGCCTCGTACAGATTAAATAAACAAAAATCATAACTACAGGTAAATGAGGAAAAGCATACATGTCATCCATTCTCCTTCCTTGGCTGCATTTAAAAATGAAATGCAGTTTCTAAAATTCTTACCAATCCTTTCCAGTAAAGTTTAGATCAGGGGTGTCAAACATACGGCCCTTCCAGGGCTCCTATCTGGCCCACAGGTTTGCTTGTGTCCTGTATAAAGTTTATAGCTCCTCTATCTGACATTACATTTTGTGGCACACACAGCCCAGCCCGACAAAGTGACGTCATGTCAGATCTGGCCCTTGTAACAAATGTGTTTGACACCTGTGGTTTAGATAGTCTCATAACTACTCAGATTTGAGAGATTTGGAGATTTTAGGGTGTGGCTATCTTATATATCTTATATATTGAGCTGCGGTGGCTCAAGTGGTTAAGATGCTGAACTGCAGGCTGTGGAAGGTCAGTAGTTCAGCAGTTCGAGACCCGGGTTGCCGCATGACGGAGAGAGCTCCCGTCTCTAGTTCCAGCTCCTGCCACCCTAGCAGTTCAAAAGCAAGAGATTGCAAGTAGATAAATAGGTACCACTTTGGTGGGAAGGTAACAGCGTTCCGTGCGCCTTGGTGTTTAGTCATGCCGGCCACATGACCACGGAAACGTCTTCGGACAGCGCTGGCTCTTCGGCTTGGAAACAGAGATGAGCACCGCAGCCCTAGAGTCGGATTCGACTGGCTTTCAAGCAACGGAACCTTTACCTTATATAGAGACAATGAGTTGAGCCTCACATTACTCTATTAGACTATCTAATTTGTTTTCCCTGAAGGTATGATATAAGACCCCTTCTGAGTGTTCCAAAGAATAATTGTTGCAAACTCTGTTCCATTTGTTATAGGATTTATTCTGGGCACCAGGCCATTGGTTCATATGTTATTCTTCTCAAGGCTGAAAACTATGACTAGAACAACGGGCAAAAGCATGAGGTTGCCAGCCTCCAGGTGGAGAGAGCTACCAGAATTTCAACTGATCTCCATAGATCCATTCCCCTGGCAAAAATGTCTCCTTTGAAGAGTGGATTGTATGGCATTATACCCTGCTAAGGTTCCTCCCTAAACCCCACACTCCCAAGGCTCCCTAAACCCCACACCCCAAGGCTCCACCCCCAGGAATTTCCCAACCTGGAGTTGGCAACCCTTGCTTGCTTGCAGATTTACACAAAAATCTAAAGGCAAACTCTCAGGGCTCCAAAAGTTTAATGGTACATTCTTATGGTTGCAGTGCTAATAATTATTTTCTGGGAGTAAGCTCTATGAATGGGGCTTACTTCTGAGGATACCTGTTTAGGATTACTCTACAAGTGTGGAGAACATACAGATCAAAAAAGCAAGTCCACAACCTTCATTCACGGATGGTTGAAGGCCCCAACACAGGAGTTGTATTTTGCAGAGCTTCTGAAACCTTTGAGGGTTTGGTTGGTGCCTTCCTCACATCCTTTTCACAGCACAGGTACAGACACAGACAAAGGGCGACCCTAAGTGGCAACAGTTCTTCCTCACCTAAGTGGGGGAACTACTGAGAAACCCTGGCCTGATGGTCAGAGCTGCCTGGCCAGCCCCTATGGGTGGAGGGGTTCTCACAGAAACATTTCCTGCACGGAGAAGATCACCTGTCTACACGGTAATTAGAGTGCTGGGCTAGGAGTTGGGAGGCCCAGGTTCAAATCCCCACTTTGCTTGCTTGCTTGCTGGCCTTCAGCCAGTCACACACTCTCAGCGTAACCTACCTCACAGGGTCGTTGTGAAGATAAAATGGAGAACGGGAGAACAATGTAAACCACACTTGGTCCCCCGTGGGGATATAAAGTGAAGTAAATAAGTATATTTGATATAATTTGCGTGGCATCAAGTATGTTCTTTCCAATCACAAACATCGTTTTCTCAAAGAACTGGATTTATAGCTTCCAATGACTATGCATATCCATGTAGCTGCTACTACTTGGTGTTTCGGACAGTAGCTTTAAATGGTAATTACACATTCAGTTCAGACATATGGAATGAAGAGCAGCTTTGGGATCGTTGGACCCAGGAAAGGAGAAGTCCACCATTTCTCTGTTCCAGATCATCTTCCTTGCAAGTTCCAAATTGGGTTAAATGAGTTATGTACCCTTTCTCTCCACTACTTATCTTCCAAATAATTTTTGGAATGGGTTAAAGGTTTGCCTTTTTTTTAAAGGGATCTGTTAAGTACATCAGAGGCTAGCCACCAGATATACACAAACTAGGAGCTAGAGCTGAAACCTAGGGCTAGGATCCAAACAGGTGTTTCTGCAGGCAGAAGGATTTTTGTCCACAGAGCACAACTTTCTCACCCTCCCCCAGCCCCAAATATCCCCCCCATGGTGGTCCTGGAGCAGCATGGCACAGGGGAGTATTGAGGGCTGCAATGTGGGAGTGGGAGAGTAAGGCACACTTTTGCAGGTGGAAATCTTGCTCCTTAGGAAGCACCCTCTTGGATCCTAGAACCCTGCCACATTTAAATAGATGGAATTAGGGTACATCACCGAATACTATAAAACTGTAAGTCTAAAACATTAACAGTGCAGTCCTAGACAGAGTTAGCCTAAACTAAACCTGTGCAGTGGGCTTAGCTTGGAGTAACTGTTTAGGATCGCATTGTAAATTGGATTTAATTGCCATTGAACTGAGCATCAGCTGTTCGGGGAGTTGGAAAGGTGTCAACAGAAAATGTTGAACTGTAGGAATTGTCTATGGAATGTTATAGGCAAATGACACTTAAACTGGAGAATCCTGTAGTTGAAAGAAGGGGTTGCTGACCAGGAGTGATATTGTCATAGCTGAAATTTAGAACTGTGAGAAGACTGACAGTGCAGTCCTAAGCAGAGCTGATATTTTTAGCAGTTTTCACACAATATAGATCATGCACTCTCAATGCACTATAGCGATCATTTGCCACTGGATGTCCTGTTTCACACAGGAAACAAATCGTGTACGTTTTGTATCACAGTCTCACCGTTCTAGTAGTTCAAGGCAATGTCCATCATTCTCTGCTTCTCTGTTGTATCCTTAAGCTAACCTTGTAAGGTTGATTAGGTGGAGAGGGACTAGCCCAAAGTCACTCAGTGAGTTTTTATGTCTGAGTGAGGATTGAAACCTGAGGCTGTCAGATCTGAATCCCACACCCTAGTCCATACGCCAGGCTTCTAAAAGAAAGAGAATATATAGCCCTCCCCCCTCTATCTTATGCATATTTAGGCTTTAAACCCCAAAGTTGCTCATCGGAGAGGCTAGCTTGAGTTGTGGCACTGAAACTGAGCTGGGAACTGGCAAGCAAAAGAGGCTTGCTGGTGCTGGCAGCGATTACAGGAAGGTGCTAAGTATTTGCAGGATCAAAACTTTAACTGGCAGCAGGCTCTGTGTTATCTGTTGCAAGCTTGAATATAAATAGCCCAGGGAACGATTTACACACACCTTAATGGCCTTGAGTGAGGGTATCTAGCACAGTATTGGATTACAGTTGTTATATTGGTAGCTGGAGGTGGTTTTATAGGAAATGCTCTTACATGAGCATTAAATTGGGTACAGGTGTTTAGGGAGAGATTGGGGGTGAGGGGGACTGCGCCTCTTAAAAAAAAAAAGATGAGAGGTATGTTAAATTAGGTTTTTGCTGGGCTGCCTTTGGGTGTATCAGCTGAAGGGACATTCGGTTTAATATAGGGTTTAAGAGTTAAAAGTAGCTAGAAGGCAGGGAGACGTCTGGTCTATGAGAAGGTGTGGAAAATAGGGGAAGTAGGGGAGGATTTAAATAGCATATGCTTGGAGTTTGGCTTTCTTAAGTGAGAACAGTTGTGTGTTAAAAGGGCTCTTCATTGCTTGACTACCCGGTTCCAGAAGAGGTAGGTAGGCTTACATTCCTGTTTCACTGGGTAGCTTTCCCTTTCTCTCCCCTTGTTTTCTGTACCCTTAGGCATGTATCTTAGTGCACAACTGTCTTAATAAAGCTTAACAAATAATCATTTTACTTGTAGGTTTGGTGGGTGGGGATGACTAATAATGATAATGAAGTTCTAGGGAACTTGGTGGTCGGATTTTAGTTAAAGTGGGTGGAATAAATAAGCCATAAGGGTGTGTAGTCTGTGCTGTACTAACTTTGGTCTGTTTAGAGCTGGCTATATAGGATTGAAAGCGAACAGATGAACTGGCTCTATGGTGTATTGGATTCTTCTTTACTTCTAAGTAAGCATGCATTGGAACAAGTGTTAAGAGTAGGGTTGCCAACTGGTCAGGACAAAAACGCCCTTCCCTTTATTTTTTATTTATTTTTGGATTTATATCCCCCCCTTCCAAACGGCTCAGGGTGGCTAACATACGGCTAGTGCCAGGTTAAATAGATAAAATACAATAAAACAGCATTAAACATCCACAATAAAATCCCATAGACAATATTTAAGGTGCTTTGGTGTTATCCTATATATAGATCCCCAAGACGGGCAGTAATCCCAATTCGACAGCCGGCTTTATTAAGTAGCGAGGACTCCAACGATGATGTTTAACGGAGGCTTAATATGTGACAATGAGTAGGGGACGCTCAGCATGGCAAGAAGGTCCATCACATCACCCGGTGCTTGTTGTGGGTTGGGCTGCCAACAACCTGGAAGGGGGGAAGCACTCTGCCCCTTTAATAAAAGCTTAAGGTGTGAAAATGTACAGCTGCAGCTTTTCATGGCATGGAGGTCACCAGGTAACATTCCATTAAACCTCTCTTAAGGGGGCGGGACATTTCCCCCCCCTCAAGGGACAGCCACAGGGACCAGTTCAAAAGTTGGTAACCCTGTGTCAGATAGTTCTTCTGGGGGTTCTGTTTTGAGGTTTTCTATTATTCCCTGCTACTAATGCAGCTGTAGTTGCTGTTCTGCAAAATAGAACTCACCAGGTTGGCATAGCTGGTGTATGTGCTTCATGTTTCTGTCTGTTCAATATGACTAGAGAGCTTATGGCATAACAGCCTTAGTGTAATGAGGGTCCTGAACAATGTTCTCTCTAAGGTGTGGAGTCTTGTGAGCAAAAATTCTACTTTGTGAACTACTGGCATTAAAGTTGTGAGTGAGCGATTTGGCTACTGCATACGTTAGTTTTGCTCTGGAGACATCTTTCCTGAGCTAAGAGAAAAATGTGTGAGCCAGAGGCTAAAAAACTGTGAGCTAACTCACACTAACTCAGCTTAGAGGGAACAGTGGTCCTGAATACAAATTCTTAAAATCTGTCATGAGGAACATCTGCTAGGTGGACAGTGTGGATTGACACCTGAAGCTTTGGTGATTTCCAGAGATTGTGGGCATGGTGTCTGGGGAGAGACAGGAGCTCAGTGGAGGGCTGATGCCATGGAGTCAGCTAGGGTTGCCAACTGTGGGTTAGGAAATCCCTGGAGATGGTTTGGAGTTGTAGCCTGGAGATGGAGGAGTTTGGGAAGGGAGGCGCTCGGAAGTCCTCCAAAGCAGCCATTTTCTCCTGGGGAACTGATCTCTGTTGTCTGGCAATCAGTTATAATTCTGGGCGGTTACCAGGCCGCACCTGGAGGTTGGTAACCTTTGCTCTCCCAAGCTGCCATTTTTCTCAGGAGAACTGGTCTCTGTAGTCTGGAGGTGAGTTAAACATCCAGAACTCTAGGCCTCATCTGTAGATTGGTAATCCTACAAACACAACAAATGATTTGGTTTTTCTCTGAGCATTGCAGGAACTGGCCTTCTAAGAGCACTGTTGGCAGCACCGTTGTCCCAAATGGAGGAAAAGAAATGGAGAGTGTGTTTTCTCATAGACCTGTGAAGGACTTTGTCACTTTGGATCTTATTGAGAAAAATAGTTAGTGGTTAGAGTTGCCAGCTCTGGGTTGGGAAATACCTGGAGATTTGGGGGGTGGAGTCCGGAGAGGGCAGGGTGTGGGGAGGGATCTCAGCAGGATATAATGCCTTAGAATCCATCCTCCAAAGCAGCCATTTTATCTGGGGGAACTTACCTTGGTCATCTGGAGATCAATTGTAATAGCAGGAGATCTCCAGCTGCTACCTGGAGGTTGGCAGCCATATTGCTGGATGTGATAAAGCGCGTACGCATGGCTCATACTGCTAATCAAAAGCTAATGTTTGGAAGAGAAGATGTCTTGAGAGGAAGAACTGGGTGTAGATACTGTGAAATGGCTGCCATTGGCTGAAGTTAGGACCTCTAGATCCAAGCTGTATAACATATAAATAAATGCAAGAGCCTGGGATCTGATCCCACATGCATGGTGTGTGTTTGACACGGACTGAGGGATATTCCTAGGCTTCTTTTGCTACAAGGAGAAATACCTAAATAAGTTTGCTCCTCCATAGTCTGTCTGGGTTTGCGGCATCTTTGACTCCCTGAGGCAGAATATGGTTACGAGAAGGATATTACGAGTATGATATTAGCTGCTTGTCTGTTTCTAGGCTAGAAGATGAATGCTGCTCCTGCCTCAGAAAGTGGACCCTATCCCACAAACCAAAAGCCCTTTTTTTACGCTCAACCGACTGCACAGCAAATGTTCCCGAATCCATGCTTCCTTGGCCCTGTATACAACCCATATGGTGTTCCTGCCACAGGTAAGGCAAGTTGCAAATGACTGAGGGGAGGAGGGAATGTGTAGCTTGAGCAAATGACATAGACTGCTGCTGCTAAAACCCCTGGAATCTGTTCTGGAGCTTTAAGCTTTCTGCTGACTTTCATTAGGGAAGAACAAGAGTCCAGTAGCACCTTAAAGACTAGCACAATTTGTGGCAGGGTGCGAGCTTCTGTGAGTCACTGCTCACTTCTTCAGATACAGGAATGTGAGTCCATCTGTCCTATATTTTGGAGAGTGGAGTGGCTTCAGATTCCGAATGACAATAGCAGGCACTCCAAGAAACACTTTCCATGATATAAGGACAGAGGGGCTTGCATTCTAGCTGTTTCTGAAGAAATGAGCAGTGACTCACAAAAGGTCCTACCCTGCCACAAATTGTGCTAGTCTTTAAGGTGCTACTGGACTCTTGCTCTTTTTCTACTGCCACAGATGAACTAATATGGCTGCCCATCTTGTGCTAACTTCCATGTTAGGAGTTAATGTCCAAAGTTTCTTTGTAGCTGGTTAATGTTAATCTAATATAGTATGTTTATACAGACATCCCTGTAGCTTTAGCTACCAAACTAGGGTTAGTTTGTCTTTTAGTAGAGATCCTCTTGGTCAACCATGTTAGTAGCAGAACTTCAGTGTGTGAGACTGCCAGAAACATGCAGGTAGTGACACAAAAGACTTCATCAACTCAGGAGACCAGCAGAATCTCGAAGACTAAAACTTATTTTGGCATAAGTGCTTGTGTGAATGTATGCTTGCTTCTTCAGATGCACAGAAGCGCTCTGCTAAAGGATATAATTGTCAGTTTATTTTACTGTGAGGAAGGCACTCTCCTGGATACTTCCCCTTGAGCACCAAAATGTCTTGGGCAGGCTTGGATCAAATGCCTTTCTGCCATAACTGTTCTCATGTACCATGTGAATGCCCTTGTGAATGTGGCCTGCTTGCTCTAACTTGGAACCATGAATTATACCCAGGATGGGCAGAGGGGCAGGCCTTATACTTCCCCTTCTCTTTGCCCATTTCCTGTTCTGGAGAAGTGAATAACTGAACTAAAGTGGCTAAGAATCTTCTTGGCCCAAGAATCTGCTTTCTAATTGGTTCATTCTCCTAGGGACATGAAGACTCTGGGTTCAAATTTTCCTTGAAGGGAGGGGATGAGCAAGCCGCTGCCTGAGACCTGTTGTCAATCTGGCTTTTGGGTGACATAACAGATGAGTTTAACCCTGTGTGGAAATGTGATGGGGATGCCAACACTACTGTGCCCTAAGCTTCATTGATGTTCCCTCAGCTGGGTTCTGCATATAGCTGGGACAAAGTTCCAATGATTGCTGTTCACAGATTGCAATGCTAATAAGGAAGGGAACTAGTCTGATGGAGGACAAAGGTGGCTTGCAAGGTTTCCTCCAGTGGATAGCTTACCTGGTCATGCTAAAGTTCTGGTGAATGACAGTGTTATAAACTAGTGAATTTGTAAGTTGGGGCATCCTGGAGAATATTCTATTGGTGAAATGTATGTGTTTGTTTCTTTACACATCTAGGCTTCAGAAATGCAAATCCGTATTACCCACTCTATTCTATACCTCTCCATGACTACCCCGGATATCTTGTCCCACAGCATCCCATGCATATGAGAGTTAACAGAAGACCTTATTTTAATGGTCACCTACCCTCGCCCATGTTTTATCAAGCGACACGGTTCAGGCACTACAACCCAGGGAAACGAACGGAGACTAAAGAAACACAGACAGATCAGAAGCAGTCTGAAAGCAAACTGAAAAGGCATCAGGATCACAGCATGGAAACACAAGGCTGTGATGCTGGAAATGCAACCTACACCCCTTCTAGTACTGGTAAGGGAGCTGCAAGCCCTGTAGAAAAACAGGACAGGGCTGCATTTTCAAGTGTTCCAGACAGAGACTTTACCAAGAGCTCTTCGGGGTCTGTACAGTTCCGAAGCCTCCCCCCAGCAGGCTATGCCTATGAGAAAGAGGAGGTCAGGATAGAATACGACAATGATGGTGCCCCTGCCATTCAGTTATGGAAGTCCTTCAAAGAAACAATCCCTCTATATGATGTGGCAGAGAAGTCAGTCCCAGAGAATGTAATGCAAAGAGATATGTTTGCTCTGGCTTCCTGTGAAGGAGTTATTTATGGGCCTCCTAACCGAGGGGAGTTGGTGCCAAGTATTACTTACCCAGAGGAGCAAAAGGCTCTTGAGGATGTACAAGAGAAAGAGCCTCAACTTAAAGGAAAACTGGATGCAGAAAAGCAAGGAACTGCGAGCCATTGGACAAGATCTCCGTTGGATGACACCAAAGCAGGGCAGATGGCTGAACCAACTGGACCTGACTTGATGGGAGTGAGGCAAGAAGCTGTGATGTCCAAAGGATCTTCTGGCTCAAAAAGGTTCCGTGGTTCAAAAACTCCTCAAGAAGTGTCAGACCCGATTCAACAAAGTCTGTCTGGTAGAGAGAAAACAAGCGATGCTGATTTCCCTGAGAAACTGGAGGAAAAGAATGAGGTGTCCCTTGAAAGTCAAGTAACTCTAGAAAAAAGTCTGTGGTGTGATGAGTCAGAGAAATACATTCCTTCTGACAGTTGGCTGGCTCGTATAGACAACATGGACCCCAACTACAACATGTATGTGTCCCAAAGGAAACGCCCAAGTGTGCTCAGCCTTACCTCTGATGAGATGTCTTCTGTGGATGAAGGCTCATCGATGGATAACTTACCAGTGTCTTATTTTGCCCCTGGCTATACATTTCAGAAGAGTGGGTATCCCTTCAAAAAAAGCACAGAGGGCTCAGAGAGAGAAAAAATTAAAAGTGGAGGTTTCCTCAATGAAGACGAGGACAACAAAGACAAGGTGGGAGGAGAGCAGGTTGGTGCTAGTGAGGGCCAGAACGTGAAGAGCAGCTCAAGGATCAAGATTAAAGAGCTTTCCAGTCGAAGTAGAAAGTTGGGCACTCTGCCTAGGTCTTCCAGTAGAAAGAAGCTCTATTCCCTTAAGAAAAAAGCCGCTAAGAGTTTGTCACCCTCAGAAGCTGAGGACTCTGAGGAATACTGGGTTAAAGAACCAGAGGATGAGGAAGAGGAGGAGGAGGAGGAGGAGGAGGAGGAGAAGGAAGAATACTACTTGATCCAAGGAGTTGCTCCCTATGGAACTTTAGCCCCTGCCAAATATGGCTTCTACCAACAGGATGGCAAGCAAGTGTTTTGGAAGATACCGAAAAATGCTGTTCCAGCCCAGCTCATCAGTTGGCCTGTTCAAGAAAAAATAAAACTTTCTAGACCAGCTAACAAACTGAGGGACCAAGAAGAGGATGAAGATGTCTGTGGCGACTGCAACTTCTATCTGAAGAAACCTACAGCCCAACAACTTGAGGTGCTCGGGCACAGAAGAAATTCACAAAGGTATTCAGGTAAAAAACAGAGCCTGTAACTTGGTAAAAACTTCTAAGGCAGCATTCCTTCTGGCTGCGATCCCTTTGCCAATGGGAAGTGAGTGGGAGGGGAATGGAGCGCCTGAATGTAGGGTGGGAGAATACTTTGAGGGTGACTAGTTGAACCTTCATCAGACTTCTTAAGTCCCTGTTAACACTAGTGTCTAGTACAGGGGTCCCCAGCGTGGTGACGATGGGTGCTGTGGTGCTTGCTGACACCTTTCCTGGTGCCCACCAACTGTTTTTTTAGAAAGTAGGCAGGGCCAGATGGGGCTTTTGCCCAGCAAGGCCGCTGATTGGCCACTGGAGAATTGATTGGCTGTGTGGATTTTTCAAAACACCCTTTGGCAGCAGCTGCCACCACGGCACAAGGATCTTCACTTTGTGACTGAAGGCAAGCTGCAGCAGCCATTTTGTGGCTAGCTCCACCTCCTGAAGCAGCCATTTTGCAGCAGCCATTTTGTGCGCACGCCATGCTGTGTTGGAATTCCAAAGGTGCCCGGAGGCTCAAAAGGACTGGGGAGTCGGGAACCCCTATTTCTAGTACATACAAGCTCATGCACATTCCCGGAATCATGGCTCTAACTTAGTAATTTGTTGTGGTGCATTTTCATGCTGGAACGAGTGTCCTTTATTAGAGCTGGAAGAGGCCAACTAGACTAGACTGGCTAGGATTGTTGCAAACCAAGGTGCAAATTATTAGGTTCTGCTATTAAATCAGTGCATGGGAGATGGGGTGAGGAGCAAGAGGATGGAATTAGGTAAGATTTAATGGCCAGTGCCCGAATAGTAAATGGATGCTAACTGTAGAATTTAATTCTAGAAGCAGTTTTGAACACTCTGTCTTCAGTTCTGTAGGCTGCTGATACATTTGCTAATGTTTGCAAAAACAAGGTACGTAGCAACGGGCATTTTACTTCCTTCATCCTTTGACCAGGAAAGCTACTGAAGGAAGGCGGAGGGGTCCTAGCTGATGACTACTGGCTAAAAAGTGGTGCGAAGCCCAAGTTCGCAAGCCTGCTTCATAGTGGACTCTCTCCCACGGCCAAAAGCAGAGAGCCAGGTACGGCTTTATCTCTTGATCGAGTATTCGAATGTCTGTTATTCCTGCCCACTGGAGGGAGAATAAACGAACAAAGGGGGCTTAGGTTGGGCATATAATCCTCAAGCTGTTGCTCAAAGTAAAGGCTGTGGCAGCAATTTCGAGAAGTGTGTAGAATCCAGGGCATTTTTTGTAGAAAAAGCCCAGCAGGAACTCATTAGCATAATAGGCCACACCCAACAGCAGAAACTCATTAGCATATTAGGCCACACCCCGACAGCACCACTCATTAGCATATTAGGCCGCACCCCCATGTTACCAGAAGTGTGGTCATCCAGCCACACCCACCTTTTGCTTCTTATTCTGTTTACCTTGTTTGTTGTCAAAACCCAGGGCTTTTTTTGGAGCAGGAACTCCTTTGCATGTTAGGCCACACACCCCTAATGTAGCCAATCCTAATGCGTTCCTGCTGTTGGGTGTGGCCTATTATGCTAATGAGTTCCTGCTGGGTGTGGCCAATTTAGGAGCCAGCCGGAACTCCATTCCTGTGCATTCCTGCCCAAAAATAGCCCTGGTAGAATCTAATCTGAAACTGCCTCAGCACAGAGGCTCCCTGAGTGCAACCATATGCTGTATTTATATGGGTGATATTTGTTGGAATGTCGCTTATTTTGGGTGAGCACCTGATACATTAAGGAGCCCAAAGCTGCCATGGCAGTACGTGGATATGGACCGGGGTTTGTAGTTCTGGGGCACTTCCGCTCTGCTATGTCACCCTTCCATCAGTATCTCCAGCTGAGAAACAGCCTAGGAAGAGGACATTTCAGCCGCAGTGGAGAGAAGGCAAGTTGGTTTAAGTACCTTATTGCACCATCCTTTCAAGCAGCTCAGCAAAATGTACATAATTGTTCTCTTCCTCGATTTTATCTTCATACCAGCCCTGTGAGGCAGGTTAGGTAGCAAGAGAGTGACCTGCCCAAGGTCACCCAGTGAGTTTCATGGTGGGCAGAGGTCTGGACCTGTATCTCTCAGGTCAATAGGCTAACCACTACACCACTAGGGTTGGCAATCTCCAGGTGGCGGCTGGAGATCTCCTGCTGTTAAAACTGATCTCCAGGCGACAGACATCCGTTCACCTGCAGAAAATGGCCGCTTTGGAAGCTGAACTCTGTAGCGTTGTGCTCCAAACCCCACCCTCCTTAGGCTCCACCCCAAAAATCTCCAGGTATTTCCCAGCCTGCACCTGGTGGCCCCAGATTCTGCACTGGCTCATACTAAGTCCTTACCCTTTCCTTACCAGGGCTTAAAGCCATTAGGGATGTATAGGTGTGTGCAAGGGTCATTTCGTAGAAAAAGAGGTGTAGGAGCTCATTAGTAGAGCTCATTAACATAACTTATTTGCATATGCCACACCCCCTGACATCACTGGAAGTGATGCAACACCCACCACTCAGGCTCCACTGGACTGTTTTGGATTGCTAGCTATTGGGGTGGGGGAACGTGCAGATCTGACCTCGCAGAGGAGGGAGAGCTTGTACCTGAATAAAACGTGGTCTTAAAGGTGCCACTGGACTGTTTTGGACTGGGAGGCCGGGGGTGGGGCTCTGCAACTTACCTGGCTGCTTCTTGCGCTGACTGAGGGCTGCTGGGAGCAGGGGGCAGGGCTTGATGCATGTGCCTGCCCCCTGGGCTCTTTACTGCCGGAGCTACGCTCCTGTGTGCTCCTGCAGGAAATGACTCCCGTGTGTGTGTCAATTGGGAAAATGGTATAAGGGTGGGGAGTTGAGCTCCAGTCCGTTTTGGGAGGGCACAATGACTGTCTCTTGCAGGTAAATGGCATATTGTGGGTTGCAGATCCCCACTGTGCATGTGATGTGGTCCAAATCCAAAAATGCTGTTGTGTCAACTAACCCTGAGAACGAGTCACGTGGCTCTCCCCATTAGTTTAAGAGCAAGCTAGTCTGACTGGCCAATCAGACGTCATGCCCTTTGGTGCCAATTCCCTACCCTACTACAACGGTAAAGGGAATAAATCTGTTAACTGGACTTCATAAACCTGCATGATTCTGAATGCAGAGTGCACGCCGAAGAAGAAAGGGGTGCGCAAGCCTCCGCACAAGCGCAGGGACACAAGAGATGATGCAGAAATAGAAGAGCAGTGGGAGAAAATGAAAGTCGCCCATCATCACAAAGGTTAGTGTATGAAGACGGTGGTTGCTGCTGCGGCATGAACCAGAGGTGGAGTTGTGGGTTCTGAAGTCAGGAATCTGAATGACCTCTTGGGTCCAAAAGCCTCCCCTGGCACGAGGGCTTATAAGAGCAGCCGTGCAGCACTTGGACGGGCTCTCTGATCATGCAGGGAACCGCTGAATCTGGAAACCATCATGTGACTTTGAATGGGTGTACCGGAGGCTTTAGAGGTAATCATGAAACAAACAGGTTCCTTTATTTAAAACACTTATTAGCTGCCTTTCTTCCTTATGGAGCTGAAGGCGGCTTACAACATAGATAAAGTACATAAAACAAAATACATTAATTGAAATTACAATTTCGGACTGCTAGTAACTTAGTCAAACGCAGTCCTAAAAAAACAGCTGCCTGCTAAAGACCAAAAGGGAGGGGGAAGCCACACACCTCCCCCCCCAGGGGAAGTTGCTCCATAGTCACAGGGCTGCCACTGGAAAGGCCTTTTCTTGTGTCCTCAATAACTGAGCTTCTTTGACTGAAGGGCTCTGAGCTCACTCTTCTCTTTGGCCCGATGGTACGTGTCAATTTCACACAAGCTGCTGCGCGACCGCATTTTGCCCCGCAGCTTCGTGCGATTTCCCCCACGTCTACTCAATCCTGTTTTTTGAGGATTGAGTAGTCGCGGGGGAAATCGCACGAAGCTGCAGGGCAAAATGCGGCCGCGCAGCAGCTTGTGTGAAATTGACACGTTACGTACCATCGGGGCAAAAGGGAGGAGTGAGCGCGGAGCAGCGCTTCTGGGAAATCACCCACAATGGGTGGTGGTGGTGGGGAGCTGCTGAAAGGGGCATTAGGGGAAGTGTAGGAATGGGAATGCCAGAGTGTATCTGGGATGAAAGGACTGGTCTAAGAGTTCTGGTCATTGACAGGTGGCCATTAATCTGTGGAGAGTTCATGATTTTTGTGGTGTATTGGGCAAGTGCTGAAGGCGGTGGCTCCAGTTCCTTGGAGAACTTATATGTGTATGTTTTGGGGTGGACCTCTCTAAGTGGGGAAGAAACCCTGCTTTGCACACATGAACGCTTCCTGGGTTGCACAGAGAAAAAGTTGCTGATCTAGTGTAGTGGGGAAGTGTATTTTCAGAGAGGGAAGAGAACCTCTGGGACTACTTGTGCACGGAAGGATAGGGGGATGGACAGGGAAAGTTTCTCAAGGTGGATTATACATAGCGAGTTGGTACAATTGATGAAATGGGACATTCACACTGCTTGCCACCTACCGGTGAAAGGATGCCACAAATCGCAGATAGGTGGGGGGACAGTGTGATTGCTGCTTTCTGAAGTTGGCATTAGGAAATTTTAGCAGTTTTTGCGTACCTGAAACTTAAGGATTTTGCTTCTAAAATTCTGTCTGTTGGAGACAACGTATGTTTGTGAACAGCTCTTTCCTGTAATGTCAATAAATCAAAAGTTATGTTCTCAGCTTCCAGATACACACTTAAACAGTATATTTAAGACTGCTACTACAGCACAGATGCTGACTGATTATTTGATGCAATAATTCAGAGCAAAGGGTGTCCGTAAGAGTGTTGATGTTTTAAGCATCTTTGTGTTTTGAGTAAAAATATCCTTGATTGGGTTTGCCTGTGTGCTTTATAAAGTTTACATCTCTGACACCTGACATTACATTTTATGGCACACATGGCCTGGCCTGGCAAAAGTGACATCATAACAAATGAGTTCAACACCTGTGCTTTACCACCAGGATGCTGGGAACCAATGAACTGTATGTCTTATAGGATAGGTCGACAGACAAGCAGTTACTAGCAAGGAATGTACAGCAGAACTTAGAATCTGTTGCACATTCCTTGCTAGTAGCTTCCAGGGGAGCAAGGCTGTACTTCAGCAGCTCAGCCCGTTCATCTGTCCTTTGTAGGCCAAGTCTGTCTGCAAGCATGTTTGCAGTGAAATCTGTTTATATCATGCCTCATTTTTTCCTCTGAGTAAAAGGACTACCTTCTGGCAGTGGGAGCGAGGGCTTCCTTTGAGTATTCCTGGCAAAGTGGACTATGCACTGAAACAAAGGCCTGAGTCCAGTTGTAATGCTTGGGAAAGGCAGTGGACATGTAGTCCTTGCAGGGCTGTAATGTTTGGGGTGCGTGTGGAGCCATATGCGTCCATGATCCCTTGCAGTATCTCCCCACATGCTTATGCAGAAGTGTCTGGAACCCATCTCTTCCTAAGAACTCACCTACAAACGGAAACGGGCAAGCAATTCCCTGCTGAGTTGCAAATGTCTGCAGAGTTAATCTGTGACGTAGCATATAATATCACAATTCAACGGTAGTGTTTGGTCATGACAGGCTCACTGTAATTCTTTGCGCTTGGTATGTTTTATATATTCAAAAGCTTTCCCAAATACATTGGAAGAAAAAGGAAAGCTGGTACATTAGATGTAGGCAGCTTTGGCATCATCTCCTTAATGTTTTAGCTTTCCCCAGCAAGGTATTACGGGACAAGACTTAAGCTTGGCCAGAGAAGAATTCTGAAATGGCACAAACCTTAAAGAGGACGCTACATGCACCTGAATGGGCCATTTTATCCTGTTTAGACTCTTCTTAATAGTAGGCAGAGTAAAGCTGCAAAAAAACCTGTACCATTTAGTGTGGGTTCTCACCAAAATACCATTGGGTGCTTCATTCTCTGCAGCCGTGAATGGGATCTATCTTGAGGCATCACCCATATATAAGGATTTCAGGTGAATCTTGAATCAGTGTGTCTCAAGCTAAACACATACAAGCCATTGCGGAAGTAGCAAGTGCATATTTAAAAAGAAACAAAATACTAACATTCCTTAATTTCTTTGTGCAGTACATGGAGTGAGAAGATCTCTCTATAAAGGAAGATCAGAACTGTGAAAATGCTACTTTCCCCATTATCCTCCTGATGCGTTACAATTACCTTTTTGTAAGCAACTCGGCAAGATTTAAGTTGCACTCCGAAGGCAAGGTTCCTGAGTCCATGTTGAAAAACGAAATGTATTAAAGTTGGGCATTAAATTGAAGGTGTTTATTGTGTTCTTTAAAAATACTATTAAAATTTAAAACTGCACAAATGTAGTGTCTTGTATCACTTATTGAAACCTCATGTACATGTTACCGACCTGTGTATTGAACAAAATGACAATCTTAAAAGCGGTGTGATGAATGACTACATTCAGACATATTTGTTTAAACCAGTTTGCATGACCCCCCCCCCCCCGGTTGGGTGACATAACAGACCGTTCTTTGTAAACCCCCAGTAGTGCTACTTGCCTCATTTCCTATCTCTCTGGATGTTCTCTCAAGGTTCCATGATGTACTGTTGGGCTGATGGCAAAGCCTCACCACATGTTACAGCTTGCTTGTTGTTGGTTTGCTGCAATAAATGGGCACAGCAAGGCAAGGTACCTCTTTGCAAATGATTGGTCTCCCTCTCCACCTGAGTGTGTTTCACTGGGTTCCTGAATTTCTCAAAGGATCGGTCTTCTCCACCGATCCATACTGTCACAATTTCATTGCTGCTTTAATTTTCCTTTGGGAAAGGCTGAAAACTCAAGCATGTTCCTGCTCAGGGTGTGTCCTCGGGGGGGGGGGATATCTTAGAAAGCTCTGCTGAGAGGTATATGCTGCTGGAGCAGCAAGATTGCATGGTCTGTGCTTTTTCCTGTGTGCAATAGGCTAACAAGAACAGAGTTACTGAGCAAATTTGCGGGGGGGGGGGTTATCTATAGTCAGACCTCATGATAAACAGAAATTACCAACACCGATACAAACCATAGTTTAAGAGTCCCAGTTTAGTATTTACTGTCTACTTGTAGGTTGTGTTCAGACAAAACTTGGTTTAATCAAGCCATGCACCCAACGTCTAATGGCATCCATAATAGCTCCGTCCATCTCTGTGATTTTGCCCAGCCAAATTAGCAAATTTAACAATTCGCCTTGCTACCTAAATTTTAACTGTGAGCCTATAAAAAGGGTGTAGTTATCTTCTCCCCTACAGATTACATTGTGTAGGAAGGCTGCCCATTAAGGATAGTGCCAGTCGCTATTAAGTGAAGAAAAGGCTAAGTGAAGAGGCTCTTCCCTTCCTAGCCACTGTGTCACAACTTCACAAGGGTTCTGTCAAGTTAGGCAGCTGGGTATTCAAAGTCTCACTCAGCATGTGTGATTATCAATGCCACAAGTACAGTAGTATTACCTGGCGAAAGCTGCCTCCTATGATTGAATGTTATCTGAACTTATAGTGTGTTAGCCTGGACATGGGATGACAAGTACCTTTACATAGGTGGGTTGACAGTCCAGTGGTTACTGTCAAAGGAAATAAGTAGTTGTGCTTCCTTATGTGCAAACAAGCATAGTAAGGACCTGAAACTTACTGGAGCAGAGATGCAAATCCCAGCTTTGCAAATTACGCTGGAAATAGGTCACCTTTTGTAGCCTTTTGCCTGCTGTTGGCCTCAGTCATTTAAGAGTATCCTAAATACCCTCCACAAATTAGCCAGTGCAGGAAAAATATACATCCCATATATACAAAAATGACTTTTGACTCCTTAAATACTAGGTAAACAATTTGTCTTGAACTGGAGGTGATGTTTTAGCTCCTGAATAGCTTAAAGAACAGCTTTTAGCACTCAATTGAAGTATTGTGTTCTTTGCACACTACAGATCATAAATCAGTTTAGCAACTCAAGCAAAATGGTGTCTTTGGCTGTTTTTTTTTTGGGGGGGGGAATGCTCACTATCTTATCTTGTATGTACTGCATGTTGCATAGAAATGCCAGAGATGTGTCAGATTCCCCTTGAGATGGGTGACTTTTTTACCCAAAGAGTAATTAACACATGGAATTCACTGCCACAGGAAGTGGTGGCAACTACAGGCACAGAGAGCTTTAAGAGGGGATTGGATAAACGTATGGAGCAGAGGAGGATGAGTGGCTATTAGCCACAATGTATAGATAGAACACTAGCAGCAGACAGACCACCTTTATTGGTATGTCAGAGATAAGATAACATTAAAATTCAGGAATACATCAAAGGTATGGCTGTCAAACAGCCAACAAAAAAGAACTGATCAATTAATAGTTTCCCTGGTTCGAATTACAGATTGAAGAAAACAAGCAACATAGAAGCGTTTTGCCTAGAGAGTAGCAACTGGACCTTGATACTCTCAGGAAGACCACGCCATGTAAAAAGAAGGGTGTCCAGAAATTTTCCTCGAATCTTAGTATAAAATGGACAATTTAAAAGAACATGGGAAATGGATTCGATAGCACCCTGACTGCAGGGGCATTTCCTAAGTTCATAGGGGATTTTTTGGCATCTTCCAGAGAAGATGGCCGATGGCAATACGTTAGATCTGGCTAACATAAATGCCCTTCTTTGATGGTGATCAGTTAGAGAACAAACATAAGTAGCTGTCTGGCCCAGTGTCTGGGATAATCCCAGATGAACTGGGGAACAGGTTTTCCTGGCTGCCTCAGTCAGGCGCTGAAATTGGATATCTAGAAGCCTGCGTTTAATTGTATAAAATATTGTGGAGGCAGATGACAAGTAAAGCGGATCTAGATGTATTCCTAAGGACCTAATTTTTGGGGGGACTGATTTCAGCCAATTAGGTTCATAATGATCTGTCAGCATTAAAAAGGTAAAGGAATTCGGGTCAGGATTAAACAGAAGGCGCAGCCAGAATTTGATGGTCAGAAGCCAGGCCTGAGTTTCCAGCAGCATCTGGCCGGTTTCAAGACAGATCGCAGCGTATGGGACACAATTAGGGAGTCCAAGGATTTTCTGCAATAAAATGGATTGTAAACCCTCTGTTGGTTAATTGCATTTATCCAAATGGGAGCGCCATATAGAAATTGTGAACTAGATTTTTCATTGAAGGCTTTTAAGGCCATTGAGACATATCAGCCCTGGTCACATTGGGGGAAAAGGCGCGGCTAAAGTGCGGCTTTTGTGAGCTGCATCAAAAGAGAAATCCCCCCAGCCGCCGCACAGTTCCTCCCCAGCATGATCAGATGCCAGGGGGAAGCCACGGACAGCAGAACGAGGCGAGCCCACTGCGCATGCATGTGCATGCACAGTTCAGCATGTGGGAGAGACGGGCACACCGGCGATCATACGGCCACCCCTGCTGCGGATTTTCTGGTAAGTACTAGTGTTTTGTAGGGGTTTTTTAAATCCGCATCTTCGGCCGGAAGAGACGGATCGGGGACGGGTGCACGCCGCTTCCCAGATGTTGCGGTGTGATCATGCCCACGATCCGTCCTTCTTGTGGATCAAAGCCTCCCGTGTGACCGGGGCCATCTATTGCCTCTCATATAGAAAAAGCGGGCAATGGCCTCAGCACCGTTTCTTGCTAGAGTAGTAGCACATTTGTGGTGAGTAACCCAGTTCCCATTGTAGAAGAAGTTGATCCCCAAGTATTTAAATGATTTGATCTGCTCAATGGGATTTCCCTGGATTGTCCATGGGAACTGTTTCCAGGATTTGGAAAAAACTAGGATCTTTGTTTCTTGGCTTTGACTCAGTCTGACAGCTGTTGTTTAACAGTGAAGTATACCTTCGGTAAGGAAGACTTTTTTTGGCTCCAATAATGGTGATAAATGGAAGGGAGAGTGGACTTCAAACACAAATCAAACATAAACATTCTCTGTTGCACCATGCATTATACTTGGGTTTGTGTCTGGAGGGCAAAATGGGAACAGGGTTAAGTAGGGAAATAAAGGTGGAGACTAAATTATCATATGAAATTACAGCTTTAGTGGGGTTTGAAGAAGTCATAAGGGAGGAGTGCAGGTCAATAATCGCTTGCTCAGTGACTAATAGCTGGACTCTCTCAGTATGGTTATGTGACCAAATAGATCTAGGGAGGGACTCAGAGGATAAATCATTAACTGTAGGGGCAAGATCAGGTTGAAGGTGTATCTGGGGGGTAATTGAGAGGACTAGAGGGAAATGGTCACTCTCAGTAATCTAATCTAAAACGCTACAACCTGTAGTTGATGCAATACCTGAATAAATAAATATAAATAAATAAATAAAATAGTAAATTCCCCAGGGATATCCCTAGTATGGGAACCATTTAGGACAAATTTATCAAATTGGATGCAAAATTTAGTAAGAAATATGCCCGCCTGGTAATATGAGGGTCTTTGGAGGACCTAACAAAACTAAAGAAATTTGGGAGGGAGTCGTTTGGGTCTAGGTTCAGAGCGGCCAGAAGGTCCTGGTCATCTTTACCAATTCTGGCATTAAAATCACCAGAAGGATCATATCTACTATGGGAAAGCGAAGTTCTAGTTGTTCAAGATATGAAATCAAGCGGTCCCAAAGGGCACATAAGGACAATTTGTCTGGGGAAGGAGGTAAATAGATGTTGACTGCAATAAAAGCAAAATCCTGAAGACTAAATAGAAAAGCATGGGCAGTGGAGTTAAAAGGTAAAGGTAAAGGATCCTTTGCTTGAAAGCCAGTCGAATCCGACTCTAGGGTTGCGGTGCTCATCTCCGTTTCAAAGCCGAAGAACCAACGCTGTCTGAAGACATTTCCATGGTTATGTGGCCGGTATGACTAAACACCAAGGTACACGGAATGCTGTTACCTTCCCACTGAAGTGGTACCTATTTATCTACTTGCGATTTCTTGCTTTCGAACTGCTAGGTTGGCAGGAGCTGGAAATAGAGACGGGAGCTCACTCCGTCATGCCGCACACTCGGGTCTCGAACTGCTGAACTACCAACCTTCCACAGCCTGCAGTTCAGCGTCTTAACCACTTGAGCCACCGCAGCTCCTGGGCAATGGGGTTGCAAGCAGGTAATTCCAACAATTTAAGTTTGGGCTAAAGAGAAAACAAAAGTGTTAAACCTGCTTGGAAACGGCCCCGAGGATTGCTCTTAAACCCAGGCAGGGAATATGTTGAAAATCCTTCAAGGGAAATTGTGGACTCTGTCCATGTTTCCTGAAAGAAAATCATCTCAAATTGCCTTAAATAGGAACACAAATCGTGATCCATTTTCTTACTTCCCCATCCAGCCATGTTCCAGGATAACAGTTTCACGGTTGGGTGAGATGGAACACTATGTCTGGGGCAGTGATGCTCTGCATTCTTGGTGCTGGGGGGGGACAACATTGGGAGGGCTTCCGGAGTTCTGGCCTCCTGATGGGACTTGGGTTTTGGCCACTGTGTGACACAGAGCGTTGGACTGGATGGGCCACTGGCCTGATCTAACATGGCTTCTCTTATGTTCTTGTACTACATTACCTATTTCTCTGTGTGTATGTGTTTATGTATATGTATGTCATGTGCAGACACAGTTCATGCATCTATGAAACATAGCCTCTAGGCGATGAAAGCTTATGCCACCATAAATCTGTTGGCCTTCATGTTGCCATAAGACTTTAAACATTTTGGTAGATGGATTAGATACTCTTTTATTAGAGAAAATCAGCTGCAGCACTGAACACAGTTCTTGTACTCTTATACTCTTCCCATATCCCACCGCAAAAAAACCATGGCATAGAATCATTACCAAAAACTGGCCTAACATAGCAGTTTGCCAGATTTTCCCAGTATATCCAAGCAATAAATATTGCAAAACTGTATAGATTATTTTTAAGGCTCTTTTGCAGCAGCCAGTCCATTTGCTGTTGACCATATCCAAATATAATCAAGAGGGTTTTTAATGCCTGGGAGTTCCATTCAATAAGCAAACAGAAGTATTTTAACAGCAAACAGTGGACTAAAATCCACAGTCTGCAGGGGGAAATCACAACAAAAACCACAACTAAGATTTCTATTGCATTGGTTAAGATTCTTCAAATCCAAATGCTTTTGTACAATTCAGCTGCAACAAAGCATTAACATTATTTGCTCAAAGACTTCTTTTGTCCCCCTTTCATTCTCCATCAGACAAAGATTTAGGGGAATGCTGATGCATAATCCAGTTTTATGGAAGAGCATCACAGGATCCAACCAATTGTTGTATGTGCTGTTCACAGATCTTGATTTACATCATTTTGTCACAGTAAACACATAGATGACATAACTGAAAGGGCTGGACATGACTCCCCATCATACACATTGACTTTTCAGATATGGAATTGTCAGAACAAGACACAATCTGCCAGTAACTCAAATGGCACAGACAGGTTGGAGTTATGCCTGTACAATTTAAGCCAAGTGCAGCCAACCAGCTGTGTAGAAGGGGCTGACCAAAGCAAAGGGTGAACTGGAGAGTTAGTACAATCCAGAAGCAAGCCAAACTGCACAGCCCTTATAACACACAAACCACCCAGCGGCTGTGTGTGAGGGACCAACCGGTCAGTCCATACCAGTCATGGTTGCCGCTGAAGGTTCTGAGCCCAGTGGCTCCTTTTTCACTGGCATTGCTGTTGGGGCCGAGCTCTTTCTTCTGGTCAGCAGTGGCCCTCCAGGAACTTTTCCGGTACATTTAGTGGACAGTCTACCCCTGGGCCGAGTGCTTGAGAATCACCCTCGGTTTTTGTAGTTTCAAGGAAGCAGGCACTACAGGCAGTTTATGGAGCCTCCTACCACGCAGAGACAGTAGAGTCTCTTTGGCTCAGTTGCGCAGGCCAGCTTTAAGTTAAACTGGGTGTATCACCCTGTTTCCGTTCAAGTACAACTGTAGTCATAAATCGTCTCCATGAATTCCAAGGTGAAATAAAGATCGGTTTCTCATGCTGAAAAAGCACCCTTTTTAATTCAAAGGTTCTGCAGTGTGAAATCCACACAAAATCTTACTCTTGTTTCTGGCGACTGCTGGCTTTAGCTTCGGAAAGCATAACTTTGGCTTGCCAGACGTCACCCTCCTTAGCCCGCCACATAGCAGAGATTTCACTTTCATGACACTAAAGCAATTGTCCATCTGTATTTATATATAGTCTCCTAAGCTACAACCCGGAGGGTCCTTGTGCAGACACTGCAGCAGTGTTTTTGCAGGTTTCCCTACTGGCAATTCCTCCCCTGCAGTTCCCATCCTGGGTCCCGGAGTAACATACCTTGCTGCCGCCAAACTGCTTCCAGCCTCTTAGGAGGCTAAAAGAATAGACAGGGGTCTACAGGCCAATAGCTCCTAACAAGGAAACTCACAGGGAATATGGGAGGCAATTCTCTTTCATGGCAGCCCTTGCTGCACCAAACCCTCACACTGGGTTTTAAATCCTAAGTGGGAGAGAAATGCAATGCACAGATATAGCAGGAGAGCCCGTTGATAAGGCAACTTGCAAAATATCACCACGGAGCAGGTAAAAGTGCCTGCAGATCGTATCCAAACGATCGCAAAACCTCTTTCAGGAGGAACTGGATGCCTCCCAACACTTTACAAAGCTTCCTCAGTCCGATTCTGACCTTCTGTCTGATTTGGAAGATTTGTGCTTTCTCTTTTTCTTCTTCTTTTTCTCTTTCTTCTTTTTCTCTTTCTTCTTTTTCTTGTGCCTTTCCTTCCCCCCCGAAGAACTGGCGCTCTCACTGCTGCTGTCTTCGTCCGAAGTGGAGTCTTCAAGCAGCTGCTTCAACTGCTGTATCCTAAACACATAAATGGATCCAGAAGATTAAATTATGCGCGCGCACACACACACCCCGTTTTGTTGGACAATCTACCTATTTCATTTTTGCTTAAATATAATCCTTACGCTGGCGACATGGTGACCAGTTTAATGACATGGTAAATGGTGTGTGTCCGTGTGTGTTTTCCCCCTAGAACTGGCACTGAATTTTGAAAGTATCAACAGTTGCAACCAGTGTTCCCTCTAAGCTGAGTTGGTGTGAGCTAGCTCACAGTGTTTTAGCCTCTGGCTCACACATTTTTGCCTTAGCTCAGAAAGGATGGCTCCAGAGCAGACTAATTTATGCTGTAGCCAAATTGCTCGCTTACAACTTTAATGCCAGTAGCTCACAAAGTAGATTTTTTGCTCAAAAGACTCCACAGCTTAGAGGGAGCATTGGTTGCAACCTACTGAAGGGCAGTCTCTTAAGTATCGAGTTCTAAACCAGAAAGTGCTGAGTTCAAATCTCATCTCTCACCTCAGAAAGTGGTGTTCGGCACCCCACTCTCTCTCTCAGACCCAACCCTTCATCCGCAACATCGGCAATACTGCATTATTATATTTTTATCCCACCCTCCCTTCAAAGGGCTTAGTGCAGGATGCCCAATTATTCCCTCCTCTCTATCTTTACAACAACCCTAAAAGGTAGGTCAGCAGAGAGAGTGACCTTCACGCCATAATGCACATCTGAACTCTGTTCTCTATCACTACAGCTGCTAAACTACAGAGGTCTATCACGGTTTTGCCCCACCCATTCTCTAAGGACCTGAGGGGGACGCAAGGTTCAAATCTCCACACTGCCAAGGAAGCTCACTGGGCAACTTTGGGCCAGTAACACACTCCCAGCCTAACTTAAACTCACAGCATAAAAGAAGTAAGCAAGTAGATAATTTTTTTTAAATAACACAAAGTATCTTTGGCTGAAAGAGTGACAGGTCAAAGGTCAGCTAGCTATTTTCATGGCCGAGTCAGAGATTGTACCTAGGCTCTAATCACTGGCTCCCTAATATTAAAAGGTAAAGGTAAAGGTTCCCTTGCTCGAAAGCCAGTCGAATCCGACTCTAGGGTTGCGGTGCTCATCTCCGTTTCAAAGCTGAAGAGCCAGGACTGTCCGAAGACGTTTCCGTGGTCATGTGGCCGGCATGACTAAACGCCAAGGCGCACGGAACGCTGTTACCTTCCCACTGAAGCGGTACCTATTTATCTACTTGCAATTTCTTGCTTTTGAACTGCTAGGTTGGCAGGAGCTGGGGCCAGAGACAGGAGCTCACTCCATCATGTGGCACCCGGGTCTCGAACTGCTGAACTACCGACCTTCCACAGCCTGCAGTTCAGCGTCTTAACCACTTGAGCCACTGCAGGTCCTAATAATACTGGGTCTTAAAGACAACAGGTTGGATCCATCCAACTTTTCTACTGGCGAAAAGGGAAGGAGGGGTCCTCTTGGTCAACCAAAAAGGCTATGCTGTGGATCAGTGGACCTGCTGGTACAAAAGCCATGTAGGACGATGTCTGTAGTAGGGAGGGGAACTGAGCAAGATGGAGTGAAAAAGCAGACTTGATCTGACCCAATGGATTCAGAGCACTCTGACCCCCCTTATGTGCCATATAAATGCTAAGCATTTATTATTAGTCAATACCTGGATATGTTTTAAAAGAATGCCAGGCTTACCGCATTTCTTTCTCGTGACGCTTGTTTTCCCTTATTATATCATACATGGGGTCTTCGTGCGCCTTGAAAAAGAAAACGCTTTAGAACTTATTTCTAACAGTTTTGCATGACGAAAGCCAAAAATGCAATCCGACCAGATATCAAAGGTTTAGTATGCATTACAAAGCCATCTTACATTTATGGTATTTCTAATATATGATCATGCAAATTAGCAATGTGTTCCTAAATTTTCTGGGTTTCAGTTGTCCCCGAACTGCCAAGTCATATAATATGAACCAACCCCAAATACAGAGCAGTTTCTCTGGAGAGGGGGTATAAAAATTCTCTACATAAATAATCATGATCATTTATTACCCTTCTTTCTGCTACACCAGGCTTCTAAATAACCCTTTCATTATCATCTATAGTAAAGGTGAATTGAGAATGCATTTAAGAACATAAGAACATAAGATCAGGCCAAAGGCCCATCCAGTCCAACACTCTGTATCACACTGCTCAGAGCACAGTTGACATTTTTATCTAAACTTCTCCTTGGAGTAGCGGTTCTGGTCTTGTTTCTGGAGTGGGTACGCATGACAAATCCCCCACTCATTAAAAAAAATTAAACTGTGTCCAGAGCATCATGTCTATGAAGTTTGTTGCAGCTTACAGCTTCTTCATTCATTAACGTTTTTTCCCTCTTCTATATTACTGATGCACATGTACGCATTAATACCTCACTGGGGGGGGAAGAAAAGGAACCTTGGTGTGATTAATCGTCAAGATTCGTTTTCATGTACTCTGGAATAGTGGATTAGTAAGTAAAACAGTGCATTCAGCATCTTGATGCAGAGCACGTCAACTGCTTTTTTGCAGAGCTTTATCAATGCATCATGTACTTGAGTGCATAAGGAATGCTGGTGCAAACACAGATGAACTTTAACTGAAAGCTGCAACAAGAGGCATTTCTGAATTAAACTTAGAAACTATCCTTCTCAAACCAAAAAAAAAGAGGAGCAGAACAACATGTAGAAAACGTTTGGAACAATATGACTTGGAGCCTAAGCAGCGCAAGCAGAGTTATGCTGAAAGAATGTAACTTCCTGACCTCCCCCAACACATTGTATCCCCCCCCTTTTGTTCCTGTGGGTCAGTGGACCCCCAAAAGCAGTGTTGCAGGAAAAATGGGTCTGCAGAGGAAGGGGGAGTTGACAGAAACCACCCTCCCCTCCTCCATTAACAAAAGCGCTGTTCTGTAGGTGGAACTGCAGATGTGCAAATGGAACAGTAAGTTGGGATCCTCTAGGAATGGACTGGGGGAAATCTGCTCATCTCTACTGGGAACTACCACCAAGAAACAGCACGCCGAAACTGCCAAAGCTGTCTGTACTTTTTAGGCTGCAAATGGGCCAGTTTGCTATTGTTAAATCAGCTTATTCAGAATTATTAAATACACCCACCCACACACACTACATGTGCAGTATTTTACTTACTACTCTGAATTGTTCAAGCTTCTGATTGTCTTTAATGAAGAAAGCACATTCTTTATCACCTCTTCTGTGTTCATAACTTTTACATCTCCAGCCTAAACATAAAAGATAAGCTTTAAAGATGCTTCAGAATAGTGCAATGTAATGGAGGGTAAGGACTTTACCAAACACTGTTTTCCTTTTTTAACAAAGTGGCAGCTCTATTCTTGATTTTTGTTACAGAGGGAGTGGTCCATTTCTGGCTTCTGAGGAGTGTGGTGTAGTGGTTAGAGTGTAAGACTAGGTTCTGGAAACCTCCAATTGGAATCCCCAGTCTGCCACGGAAACCTGCTGTATGACCCCAAGCTGATCATTCTCTCTCAGCCTGCGATGCCTCCCAGGGTGGTTTGAGAGTAAAATGGGGGAGAGAGAACTATGTAAGGGTTCTTTCACTTATATGCTCTTCAGCATCTAGTACCACTTACTACGAGTACCAAATCACTATTAAACTGGAGTGATGGTGGCTATACTAACTAAAAAAGGAAAGAAAATAGGCCCCAGCTTATCCCAATCATTCAGCAGCTGCCTAAGTAAAGAGATTTTCACATTACATCTGAACATACTTGGATCTTTGATCAATTCTGAAGAACATCTGGAGAGAGATCACTGCGAATGCCCTCATTATTCAGACTGATGCACAGGTTAGAGAAAGAAGCCTCGGGGCACTGATGTGAACACAGAGATTGTAACGGAGGCCTGAGGCACAAGTGCTGTCGCTCCAAGCATGCCGCCTGTAAAGCAGGGAAGGTTTAAATGCTTGCCCCCCCCCCAAAGATGGCTGCTAGCTTTTTTTCAGGTGGAATGCATGTGAAAGCCCTGTCATCTTCAGTGGCTGCTGCTACACCATCTGGGACTGGGCTTCTCTATGCTCTCGGCAGCCATTTTGATTTAGAATCAACTGTCCCATGAGCAAGAGACAAAGGCAGGTGAGAAAAACAACCATGTCCGCTGGCTCTAGCTAAAATCTCCACCACCTGGAACTAGGTGATCTGCTCCCCCAGCGGGCTACAAAGAATCAGGCACACTATTTAAAATGGGATAAAGGAGTTCTAGAATAAAAGGAGTTCATTTTTATACTCTGCTTTTCCCTACCCTAAGTAGTCTCAAAGCAGCTTACCATCACCTTCCCTTCCTCTCCCCACCGCAACAGGTACCTCGTGAGTTAGCTGGGGCTGAGAGAGTTCTGAGAGAACTGTGACTGGACCAAGGTCACCCAGCAGGCTTCATGGGGAGGAGGAGTGGGGAATCAAACTTGGTTCTTCAGATTACAACCCACTGCTGTTAACCACTACATCACACTGCCTCTCTAGGATGTTTTTTTCCTGTTTACCGCTGGAAATCTGAGAAGGCAAAGGGTGAACTCAGCATGAACATTCAGCATCCAGCCTCCAATTAATTTTCCTATGCTGTTTCATACTCATTGCTTTCACTGTGTACCAGTGGGGTGAGAGATAGATGTGACTGACGAAATTATTTATTTCTTTATTTATTTATTTGATTTTTATCCCACCCTCCCGCCGAAGATGCTCCACATTCACAGGACAGGGTGGTGTTTAAATAAGAAAAATTGATCATCAATGTGAAGTCAATCATTATCTCATATTTTATGACACCTGCTCTTTTCCCTGCCCCATGATTTCCCCCTCTGTATAAAGGATGTAAACGATTCTAGAAACTTCCAAGGCTTACACTGCATAACTTTGACCGCTTTCCCTAGAGGCATCCAGAGCCCTTTTGTTGGCGCATGTGCGAGGAATTCTCGTGCATTTTCATTTCCAGGCACATCAGGAATGCAGTCTTCTGGTTTTGTCTCATTTTCCTGGAACAAGAGGAATAAACTCATAAAATAAACTCATAAAAACAAACTCTGTGCAAAAGCAAAGTGGGCTTATTTTTCCTCAGCTTCAGATCTATGACAAATGGTCCCCGCATGGTAAAGTCACCTCAGGATATACTGGACACACAGAGTGAATTTGACTATCACCTTTGTGAAGTTAAGAAGCACCTTTAAAATGTTTCTGAAATATTAAAAAGAAGCATTATGGCATGCCAACCTACCTTAATCATTCCGGGAGGAAGTTTCTCATATCGGGGGGGGGGGGGGGGGAAGAGAGGAAAATATTGCTCTATTAATACTTTGTTACTACCTAAGCAAAAGGGGATATTCATTCAAAACAAAGGTAAGGGGAGAGGAAAAATTTCTTCAATATTTCACTTCCTCTGCATGAGGAGACCGACAGGAAGCAGGTTAGGGAAAGGACCCCTTTATCAAGCTGCCAGTGATACCCTTTTACGAGACATCCCGATCTGCAGGAGTTATTCTAATTCAGACGAATAGCAACAGTTTCAGGTCATAGAAACACTGCTCAGAAGTGGAATCTTTCTCTTCTAGACAGTGCTGCAATTTTTACTAATTTTTCTGATTTCTTCCCCCTGATTTGTCTCCACCATCTTGGCACAATAGACACTGTTATCAACTTTTCACCACGGCCCCCGTTGCACTATTAACTTGGCCCAGTCTGCCTCTCGCAGGTTTACTGGCAGGCTTGTCCTTCTCTTCAGGAGCTCAGGGCTGTGCGTATGGTTCTCCTTCCCTCCATGTTGCTGTCACTACAGCCCTATGATGAGGTTTCCCAAAGAGTTTCATGAGTTAGTAGAGATTTAAACCTGGATGACCCAAACTAGACTGGCTCTCTGGAGGACACGAAAACGATAGTAAAACGGAAGCAGAAGATCTTTGGTCAACAAAGTCAGTGACAGTAATGAAGGCACTAAACCTGCCTGCCAGGTATCTGAATGTGCACTGAATGGCCACCTCTCATCTCTATGGATTGTTCTCATCCGGCCAGCATGATGCAGTGGTTAGTGTCAGACTAAACCTGGGAGATCCCAGGTTTGAATCCCCACTCCGCCATGGAAGCTTGCTGTGTAACTTTGGACTACTCAGGTACCAGTGAAGCACAGAATCCAACAAAGAAGTAAGTAAATAAATACAGGCATCCCCAGACTATTACACTATCATTTACGGCCACATAAAGGACAGAGAGGGGTTTCTCAGGAATGTCCTGCTATGAGACGTTCAAGTAGCACCAGCCCTCTTGCTTTTACAGGTCACTGAAAATGACCCATTTCAGAATGCCTTCGGCTTTTTCCTGATGATCTGTGAAGCTGCCGGTACAATACATGCTTGTTACTGGTGATGGCTTCTAAGTTATTTATGGATCTGCCTTGGGAATGTTATTCACTTTGTGGATTTTTATTCTCTCTTCCTCCAAGGCGTTCAGGGGCCATGTACATCTTTCTCCCCGCCTCCATTCTAACCTCTCAGCAACACTGCGAGGTAGAGAGCCGGATTCGAGTCCAGTAGCACCTTCGAGGCCCACCAGATTTCAGGGCATAAACGTTTGAGAATCAAAGCTCCCTTCCTCGGGACACTGACTCTGGAAAGCTCACACCCTGAAAATCGTGTTGCTCTCGAAGGCGCTACCGGCTCCGAAGTCTGCTCTCCTCCTGCAGACCAACACGGGTAGCAGTACCCTCTGGAACTGGGAGGCAGGTGAGGCTGATGGAGCTAAACTGCACCACACCTGTGGGCAGGATGAGTACTCAGTGCCTCCGCAGCCCCATGCTGCTGGGGCAAAGAGCTCGACGGCTGCACAGCTGGAACTGGAAGAGGGGCTCCTCGGGCTAGTCAGGCTGAGGGGGGTGAGTGAAAGAGGAGGAGTCATAGCAAGGGGCAGCAGAGGTCTTGACAAGTTCCCCTTCCACAGTACCTGGGAAGGGAGACACAGCCGCCACTACAGTGTTGCCCCAACCCCCATTCCAAATCCATCCCTTATGCGCAAATCTGCATGTATGAATCTAAATCAGCACATGCAACTTTCATGCAGGTTTTGTCCTCTCTGCCATCCACGGGGGCCCGCCCACCCTTCTTCGGGGACTTCCTGACGGCTGGACCAGTCCTGGGAAATCCAGCGGCCATCTACCTGCCCCCCCGCCCCCATCGCTCCAAAAGACCCCTCCTCCTCCTCCTCCCGAGGAGCCCAGCCCTTTGCTGCCCCCGCCCGAGCTGCCGCTGCTGCCGCCCGGCAAGGACTCGCTGTGGCTCCGGTGCCGCTTCAGGCTGCCGCCGCCGCTCCTCTCCTCCCCGCGTCTGCTCGACTCGTGCGACATGCTGGTGGCGGAGGGAGGGAGGGAGGTAAAGCCGGAGCGGAGACGAGACCGACAGCACAGACGGAGGCAGGGAGGGAGGCGCCGGCCGGCCCGGCCCCCTCGTTTCACTTCCAGGCGAAGGCGAGGCGGGCACTTCCTCCGGCTGGCTGGGGCCGCCTGAGCCTCGGCAGCGCCCCCTCCTTCGCCTCCTCCTCCTGCTGCGGCGCAGGCGGGAAGGGAATAGACGGGGGCGGACTTGAACTCCGGGTTGGGATATTCTTGGAGATTTGGGGGTCAAGCTTTGAAGAAGGCGGAGCTTGGGGAGGAATGGGCATAATGCCACAGAGTCCACTGCCCAAAGCGGCCCTTTTCTCCAGGGGAAGGAATCTCTGTCATCTGGAGATCAGTTACAGTTCCGGGGGATCTCCAAGCCCCACCTGGAGCCTGGCAACCCTACACTCTCACGTCACCACGGGAGCGCACTGGCGTAGAATTGCGGGTCAGAAGAGGTGGGGAGCAGACGGTGCTTTTGTAAAAAATGGGAATCTCTTTAATAGTGTGAGGTGACCCTTCCCCATCTCTCCTCCAAGGGGCTCAGGGAAGGGCACGTGGTTCTAGGCTCACAACAACAACAACCCTGTGAGGTGGATGAGGCTGAGAAAGTGGCTCAAAGTTGCAAAGCAAGAATATCAGGATGCCAATGTGGACCAGAGGGGTGGTTTTTTAATAGTTATGGCTGCCCGGGGCAGCAGCAGCGCGAACGGCAGCGCGAACGGCGGCGGGGGGGATCTTTCCTGGCCTCTCTGAGCCCCGGGGGTGGTGGCATTGGAGTCCTGGGGGCAAATTCCACCTCTCGCGTATGATGGCCGAGGGCCTTTGCGCGAGAGGTGGAATTTGCCCCCAGGACACCAATGCCACCACCCCCGGCGCCTTTGCCCCTCGGCCATCATACGCGAGAGGTCCTTTTGACTCCCCCAGGTCTTGGAAGGGGCTCTTTAAATAGTTATGGCTGCCCGGGGCAGCAGCGGCGTGAACGGCGGCGGCGGCGGCAGCGAGGGGAGGGAATCTTCCTCGGCCTCT